CACGCAATTTCTCACCGTATATCTGTGTAAAAGATGTTCGTTGTCGAACAATTGGATGTTAGCGCTGAATAATATGTTAAACGCTCACTGTGACCCAGCTATCAGATACTTTTTGTAGTGCCCCCTCAAGTCATGCGAGAAATAACATGAAAAGTAAACGAAGTCAGTCGTTCCTCCGTATCACGAATGTCCTATACCCCATTCACACCAAAGCTTAAACATGTTTTAAAGTTGTTTTGCTAAACACAGTTCAATTTTTTTTTCGTAGAAACTACTGAACATAATATTTTTTACTTAAAATGTAGCACATTGGAAATGCAAGTCAACAAGCACTTGAATCTTATGGAATATTAAGCTTTTCGGTTCTCTGTTATAATTTTCATTCAGTAACAACCAGTTTAGAAGGAGAGAAGACCGGAATTTAGTTTTCTAAAGTTAAAAATACGGGATGAAGAATACTTTTAAAGAAAAAATATTGCCTTCTCTGGGAGCAATATGACGGCGCGTTAGAGGCTTTTTCAATTAGTTACCGTCAAAGAAATTCCTTATGTGTCAAGCTGAAATAGTATGTGACCTTATCTTCCTGCTTATATTTATCAAAGCTCATAGGGTAATTAACGACTAAGCCTACCATCGACTGCGCAGCCATTCTGACTCCCGTTTCATCATAAGACCTAATCTGAAGGCGAGTTTCAATTTTTGCTCTCAAAGTCAATCGTTTAATAATTTAAAGGTTCTCAAGACGACCTCTTAAGTGCAGCAGATTAAAATTAATGAGCACAAAACCCCTCTAATTCCTCATCCCTTTATACGAATTTCAGATGACTGCTCGAAATATCTAAAGGTAAAAATCCGATTCACAACCTTGGTATCAATTAGTTTATAGAAAAGAGTGAAGAAAAGTATGCAATTTGTCAAATTCCTTATCACCGGTAACTCCGCCAGGTGATCAGGATCATAGTTTACAAAATATTTACTGTGACATTTTGTAATGTCTTTAAGAAACAAGCATTGACTGAAAGAGAATCCTGTACTGCTGATAAAGTAAAGAACAATTTTTAAAGCGAAGTAGATGCGAAAAGTTGCACTGGGACATGCCAGTCAAACAGATTCGGTTAATCCATAACCAAGCGTGTACTAACTAAATCGAGACTGGGCTTCATTTTCCAGACTATTCATTTTCAGGGAAATAAATTATTTGAAATGTGTACGATCAAGAATCCCACTTTGTTTTCTTAGGATTGTGCTGTTTTGGGGTTACTCCTAAACATACTACAATCTATCGGTAGAATTTTTTCACCTTCAGAATATACAGATGGACTCTCCTGGTTAGAGCCTTGTCTTATGTTTTTGTATTGAATAATTCCTAACAGAACTATGTCCCAATTTAGCCCGAGGCTGCATCTTTATCATTTCAAATCTACCCCAATCTCTTTCTAAAATAGTTCTCCAAAATTGCATGAGGCAGTAAATATTATTATATCCAGAGATATTACCGCGGAATTTGAAAATTCAGTCATTGAAATTTATAAGAGGTCTCAATGGGGTGATGGCTTTTACAGCTAACGGTTAATATTTTGCCATTTTACAGATTTTTTTTATTCTATTGTTGTCGCCTTAATTCTTTTTACGGTTAACTTTTTTTTTGGACTATCGGTTAAAATTTGTCAATTTTTTTGCCTAAGTTTTTTGGCCGTTTTACGGCAATCTGTTAACTCCATTGAGATCCTCTTAAAACTTTGCTTCTCTAGTTCTAAAATGTGCTTCAAACACAAAGAAGCAAATTGCATGGGATCAAAGCACAGTATTTACATATCATATTTGTGTAAAATCAATAGATGCTAACCTGGGACACGTTCAGGTAACTGCTGGAAATTTTGGTGCATCAAGGAGTGTGGGCCCAATTTGAGATCTAATCCGTTTTCAAGTCAAGTTACTGAACTAATGACATCAAAATTTCTTCTCGTTCTTATCCTCATGCTCTGTAACTTGGCCGTAATCAATTTAGCTTACTTAAATTCTGACTTAGGCTTCTTGACGTATCCCGATTAGTCGAACTTCTGCATCGAAAGAGCGGGAGATGGCGAATTCAAGTGTAATCGAACAAATCAACTCCTCTTGGCGTGACATATCATGGTCTGTTGTGTTGTGCAACCAGAAGAAAAAAAATTTCTTTTCATAGGTTTCATTTGCTCTGAAAATATCACCGATGACGGCCAAAACAATCACCACTGAGGAGAACAGTAGCAAATGAACCGAAAAAAAAGCAGTCACTGAAAAGTGAATTTAAAAACTCGACGAAGCAAAAAGAGAGCGATATCTTTTGCTCGCGGAGAATTATCACCTTTAAAGTTTTTACTGGCGAGAGAACATAATGGGGAAAAAAAAAAAAAAATAAAGAATCTTATTAAACTATTTTCTCGGCTCCTTTGTAACTATTTTGAGACCTTTGGGATCCACATTCATAATTTTTGTAGGACAGCATACTGTATGCTTGTTTCTGACCAATCAAAAATTTCATATCATAGTCGGAACACAATTTTTTTGAGACAAAAATAAAGCGTTTTCTTCGTAACTGATACTCCGCCACTAGAGTTTCTCAGCAAGAGACACTGTTCTTTAGCATTTAAGCCCTCATGAGGGCTTCTACATGACTGAAATGCTACATATTTTAATGATGCAAACACCGAGAAACTTTGGCTACTTACCCTTGGTTGATTTTAAACGGATTACTCCTGTCAAAGAAGATACTAGCTCCAAAATTTTAACCTCATCTTGCTTTGTCTGGGATGGTTAACTGCATACTGACAGGAAATGGGACAAAAGATTCTTGGCCGTGTCCAACCGTGAATTTTACAATCGTTTTTCTTTTTTTAGAGATATTTGCACAAAACAACCATTTTGGACTTAATTGCTATGCACAGCAACGAAAATACAAAACATAAGCTGTTCTAGACGTAATACTCTCTGACTGACAGCCTGAAATAAATTAATAAATATGTCAACAGGATACTCAATTTTAATCAGCTTCATGTTCGAAAGTCTCGACTTTCCCAACTTTTGTCCCCGTTTACAGATTTCCATGAACATTTAATTTTTTTTTCAAATATTTCATGTGAAAACGCTCTTTCTAATGTTCTTCTTTGAAAATTTACGCGGGAAATTGGCACGCGGGCTGGCCAAAATTGAACCCTTTGCGAATGCGTGGTTTGACGATTGACAACAGACAATGCATACTGTGCAGGTGGCTGGTAGCGAGGCCAATAAAAGCTTTACCCGTGAAACAGGACAAAGCCAATAAGTTTGAGAGAGAGTGAAACAGGATAGGATCTAATGGACGGACAAACCAGCAAAGAAAACAGTTGTCGTGATATTGTAGATTCTCGTATTTCCGATAAAATATACTACCTCGTTCTTTCCCAAAGAAACCTTGCTTTTAAGCTGTGAAATGTTATAACTCAAGTCTAATGAAAAACAAACAGCTATAATTTGAGAGCTAGGAACCAATTTATTGATTTTTAACCAAACTGTAGTTTGAAACTATCAATTTCTAGAAACAATTAATTCAAAACAATTCGTAATTAGCATTGTTTGTGTCTAATGAACTTCACTGTTGAAGACAGAACACTTGCGTTCTATAAATACTCAAACACAACGTCTGTAATGCTCCGAAAAGAGCCGGAAAAGGAACAAAATTTTTAGGTTTTGCAGGAGATAAATTCCCTACGGTCAAAATGTATCCACGAAAAAACCTATTTCAGCAAATACTGTTTGTTAATTCAATAATCACTTTATTACGTTCATCGCAGTTATAACAACATTCGTTTAGTTGATTTGTTCCAATGTTAAAAGAAGCTCTACAAACTTACCGTCAATGAGCTTTTTAGTTCCCTGAACCAGTTTCTGAGTTCATATTTTGCAGGTGTCGTGTATGATTGTAAGTTCCGCTACTTCTAAATCGTCCCTAATCACAGAAAATTGTTTCGGAACGCCTTTTGAAATTTTAGTTTCCCTTAAATCTAGGTTGCGGAAATGTACAGAAGCCAAGAAACTGTAAAGAATAACGCAAATCCTCCAACAACCATAGGCGCTTCCGATGACTTCTATTGATGCAAAAAATAATTCCTTTCCGTGTCCTGTGGAAAAAGAGGAATTGGCGTCTCTTGAAAGCCTAGAAAAGTGATTTACTTGCACTCGCCAAAAGCATAGCATCTTCGGTTCACAGTAATCGCTTATTTGGACGCAGTGATAATAGGACAAGTTGAATTTTCAATCAAGATGTGTTACCAGCTGCTGCTCTTATCTTTTACACCCTTTGTCTCACGAGAGTGGTCAGATTTTAATTTCCTCTAACATTTATAAGACACTGTGCAGCATTTAGGTAATGAGAATTAAGACAAATGAAGCTGCTGCGCGCAGAGGGACTAAGCGGAGCACCATACCTAGGTAAAGATGATAACCATGCACGGTGGTCGGAAGGTGATAAAGCCGAACCGTCTTTCGTTTACTCGGTTCAAATGAACCCCACAACCTGAAGGAAGTTCGGATAAAATGATGGGAAGTAAAAATAGACCAACTTGAGCTCTGGGGCCTGCCTATCGTAAGTAAATGTAGAACACCTAACTACTGGGTATTACAAAATCTCACTTCCGTGTTAATGCAGTCCACATCTATATTTGAAAATTCACTCAAATACAAATACAACTAGATAAAATAACTTAGAGTTATCTTAGGGGAGCATTCTCAAGTGTACACTGCCATAGAGAAACTGAAATTTCGTGAAAGTTTCATGAAGCTGCACTTTCCGATGGATATTTTTAATGCTTTCTGTGAATGTGCAAGTAAATCGAATGGTGCACTATTTCTTCTGAGATTGCCTGTGTATATACTAATATCACGATATGACAGAAGCCGTAATTTGTCTTATATTTTTTCAATATATTAAGAATTATGAAATTGTGTGAAATTCCACAATAATGTTTTGTTGCCATGTGCATTGTTCACTCGATAAAGGTGATAGTCACTTTACCATTTCCAGCCGTATTATAACAACATTCATTTTCCTGATTTGTTCCACTGTTAAAAGATCCTCCTCCACCACCACAAGAGGGATCTTCATTAACACATCCAGCTCCCCCAGAGTAACCTCCACCGCCGCCAGCTCCCCCATAGTAAGCTGGATTTCCGCCGCCACCTCCGAACCCACCGTGATACGTTCCACCCTTTCCACCATTGAGAAATCCTTTGCCACCTTTACCTCCTCCTCCCCCATTACCATAAAAGCCGCCGCCGCCGCCACCTAAAACGATAAAAGAAATGTCCAGTGAATCTCTTAAATGGTACCTGAGCTCATCTATATAAATGGCGGGAGAATACCTTTTTTGTTTTATTTACAACTTAGTTCTATGTTTTTCTATGCTTTGCCTTAGAGGACTTGAAAAGCAAGTTACGAAAATCGAATCCCTGTTCAAAATAAGTCCGTGTTATTCCTGCAATGCTTTTGCTGTATAACCCAAATTCGTAATTAATCAACATTCTTGATAACTGTGCAAATGTCCATCTTGTTTACGTGTATGACCTAGAGTGCATTCGTAAACTTGGTGGCTTTAAAATAATGTAATATGGGCGCAAGAGCGATGAGAATTTAAGAGAACGAGCTACATTCAAGTGAACTAAGATTTTGCAAAGTGTTCGACTTATTGGCGTGTATGCTTCCAATGAATAAGCCCCAATGATTGCCATAAATATGGGTTTTTGTAACTCATCTCACAGTACCCCTAGTTTGAAGATGATTGGGTAAATCTCATTTTACTAACCTGGCCTATTACCAGCGCTACCTCCTCCGTTTCCGCTAGTTCCTCCTGACCCCAATGACGAGGAGTACCCAGTATTCCCTGTGGTGCTTAGAGATGCATCACATCCTGAATGTTGTTCTGACATGTTTTTAATTCCCCCACCACCTCCAGCTATGATTAAAGGCGTATTGCTTCCTCTCACCACAAATGTACCTCCCCCGCCTCCTGTAGTTGTTTGGGAGCCAGGCCCTCTCTTTCCTTTATGTCCAACAAGTATACGAATGATCTCATCTTTGGTCAAATTAAAGTTTCCGGTCAACTTGGCTCCTCTTCCTCCGTTCTGGACGACACTGTTCTTACCGTACCACCCTGCACCTCCTATTGCTTCTATTTTATATTCTCCAGAGTATGGCACAGTCCACAATTGAATACCGCTGGACACGGTAACTTGTCCGTCATGATCTTGCCCGGTATAGTGACTGCCAATTGAGCTTGGACCATCAGGTGCAGTCGAACCAAGGTTTGTAAAGACAGCTTTAAACTCTGGCTCTGGGTGGATAGACAAAAAATAAGAGACGTGTTACTGTTGTAGGCCATGTAGCAGCCTAACTGATAACAAACATACCTTTGGCGCACTCCGAAATTCATGGGAATGTGTGATAATCTTTTAGCGCCTTGCTTGATAAAATAGTGGAAAGAGTTGTCTCTCAATCAGTTAAACTTGGTTTTTATGATTGGAAGCAAAGAATCGAGCGTTGAATTTACCTTGCTCACAGAAGTTTCCAGTCCACCCAGATAAGTTACAGGCACACGTGTAGTTCACGTGATGGTTTATGCACCTGGCATTGTTTTGGCACTGGTGTTGAATGCAGTAATCTGCGACTGGATTGGAAAAATCTCTAAATGAAACTGACAAACACATCATGAAAATCATCATGAAATATTTGTCTTCCTAACCTTCTTTTTTCATGTCACAGTGAGCTAGAATAGAGTTCCCAGACCTGGTGGAATCCAACCAGTATGTACCGCTGACCGCTTGTCCTCCCTCACTCGCCTTAATCTCTCGGCACGAATAGGCAGGCAGCTCAGGAATAGAGCCGAGAGGGACTGGAATTGAAGAAAGCACGAAAATGAGAAACAACGATGAGTACCACTTTAGAATCCTTGAACGAGGTACTTATTTGAACGTTGAACAAAAAATCAATTATTTCTGGTGTAAAGTTCTGTTACCTCGTTTTGAGTTTCTCGCCATGTAGTATCTGTCTTTATGTTTGACAAAGTCCTCAGGTCTGGCCTCTTTGGTCCGGTTGTTTAACTCGCACTTTGAATTAAGTATAACGATATTATAGCTTTGACATCTGAAATCAGTGTGACAAGCTTCCCTGCATTCCAGCGCGACGGTACCGGCTTGGCTCTCAATCGTCATATAGGTGTGGCCCTTGAGCATCATTTGAAAAATGGAGTAAATGCCGGCTCCACACTGGTGGCTGGTAATGCTATGGAAAATTTGAGTCATGAAAAGCACGGCAAAGAGTGAAGGCTTTCCACTAACCATTCGTAACATTTTGCTATTCTGACATCGACAAACACAAGCACCACATTCCCACTGACAGATGCTGGAGATAATAAAAGTTTAAGAAAAGAGGAGACAATTACAAAAAGACCCTTAATATACGTAAGAGAGAAATTAGAATGAAAAAACTTCATGCGTCACTAGAAACCCATCAACTCTTCAAGCATCGACCTTACGAGCTTTCCTTTTTGGATTTTTGGCAGAACAAATTCCTGAAGTTTGAAATTGCTCACAGATTTCCTCGAGCTTCGGAAAACTGATCGCATCTCGGAACAGATCTAGGTGTAGTTATTGTCCCTACATGTATACATTGTTTGGCGATCAACAATGAACTGCAATTTAAAAACTGCGAAAATCTGTGTAAACAACTTGATTTCTTGAGACGTCATACCATAGCCAACCATGGACGATTAACAAAAAATTTGTCAATAGATAACTTCTGCTGTTTAGTTAAAATTTGTAAGGTAAAGTTAAAATTGTAATTTAAGAACACGAAAAAGGCAAATTTTAAAGCACAGAATGTATATGTTTGCAAGTACGTGATTGACATCAGCATTTGTTTTTTGAACTGACCCCTTCATGTCCATGTAGTCTCTTGATGTGTGAATAATAACATCAAACTAAAACTGAATTAATCATTTGTGGAAAAGATGGAAATTTAATGCATAAGCTCCTGCACGCAATTTCTCACCGTATATCTGTGTAAAAGACGTTCTTTGTCGAACAATTGAATGTTATTTGAGATAAGACACTTTTTCTGGCTCTAAATAATGTTAAACGCTCACTATGACCCAGCTATCAGACACTTTTTGTAGTGCCCCCTCAAGTTACGCGAGGAATAACATGAAAATTAAACGAAGTCAGTCGTTCCACCGTATCACGAATGCCTTATACCCCATTCACACCAAAGCTTACACATGTTTTAAAGTTATTTTGTGAAACACAGTTTCATTTTTTTTTTTCGTAGAAACTACTGAACCTAATATTTCTTAATTAAAATGTAGCACATTGGAAACGCAAGTTAGCTAGCACTTGAATCTTATGGATTATTGTTTTTTTAGAGGGCACGGTAACGAATCTTGCAATCTGATTGGTTCTTTACCCGGTCAGTATTTTCCTATCTCTGCCCACGGGCCACGGTAACGCTTTCGTGAGTCGCCGAGTACATCCCAACTTTCGTTGTCATTTTTCATAAATATATCTCGTTTTCTGGCTGGGCTGTATTTTTAAGCAAACACGTCGGTCACTACCTCAAGCCGATAAATAACTTATGAATCCTCTCTTTTCTCTCTATCAAATCACTTTGGTCGACAGAAAATTATTGGTTTCAGAATGAATTTGTATAAACAATAGTGTCATTACTTTGGTTGACAAGCGGCCTAAAAACCGTCTGCAATTAATTTTAATCGTTCACAAAAAGTACCCAGAAAGTTGAAACGTGAGGTATTTGGTTACAGTTAAACTGAACGATGGAACTTTCATTCATTTAATATCTGAATTTTCTCGAGCAATTTGTTCATAGTGAAAGAGCGAGCGAAGTTTTAAATTCTACAACAAATATACGCTCCTGGTAAGTCTTTCCAATTCCGTTCAATTTGGACATTTGTACCTTAAATTGCACAACAGAAATTGAAGGAATTTTTTGAGAAAAGGCCGCATTACATTCCCTTGTGTCTCGTTGGAGTGTGCCGTTCGAATTTAGTTTTTGTGAAGGAATGATCAGAGTTAAACACGCCATTACAGCAAACAAACGAGCAAACTCTCACAACTTCAAAATAAAAAAAATTGAACTTACTCACAATTACTTTCCTCGCCGTTTACTTAATGAACAGAGGTAAATCTTCGTACATGAATGAGTGGTCGATGAGAGTGAATAATACTTTCCGTTAGATCATTAACTGATTTTGAAGAAAACATTGTCGTGACAGTCCTTGCCAAACTAGTTCTGTTGGTTTTCAAATGTTCCTTCGATTTTCTTTTTCTTGCGCGCTCTCTAATTGACAGGTGTCAGATTGTGACAGATACTTGTAAAAATAATGTTTCAAAGTTTGTTTGGAAGCCTTTTAAATCACCTTTATCGTTACGGAAATGAAAATGTTTCGCTGAGGCATCTCTCTTAAATTTGCATCACCTCTATTTTAACTACCATTTACTCACTCAAAAATTGTTCAGTTTATGGAAGATCTTGCCGTATTTATGGGCATAAATCATTCGGGTTCTTTCGGAAAGAATTTCGTCAAGTTTAAAAACAATAAATATGTTATTTACCGGCTAAGGGTCGGTCCGTATCGTGAAAAACTGTGACCTCGGTCTTGAAAATGCTGACCTCGGTCACAGTTTTTCACCTTACGGACCTCCCAGCCGGCAAATAACATATATATATTAAGTTTTTCGGTTCTCTGTTATGATTTTCATTCAGTAACAACCAGTTTAGCTAAACATGATTTGCTGGTGTGAATAAGGTATTAGCTGTAACAAAGAAGGACTGAAGCCTGAAAATTTAGTTTTTTAAAGTTAAAAATACGGGATGAAGAATACTTTTAAAGAAAAAATTATTGCCTTCTCTGGGAGCAATATGACGAGTGCGTTAGAGGCTTTTTCAATTAGTTACCGTCAAAGAAATTACTTATATGTCAAGCTAAAATAGTATATGACTTTATCTTCCTGCTTATATTTTTCAAAGCTCACAAGATAATTAACAACTAAACCTACCATGGACTCCGCAGCCGTTCTAACTGTCGTTTCATCATAAGACCTAATCTTAAGGCGAGTTTCAATCGTTTAATAATTTAAAGGTTCTCAAGACGCATTATTAAGTGCTGCATATTAAAATTAATGAGCACAAAACCCCTCAAATTTTTCATCCCTTTATACGAATTTCAGATGACTGCACGAAATATCGAAAGGTAAAAATTCGATGTACAACCTTGGTATCAGTTGGTTTATAGAAGAGAGTGAAGAAAAGTTTGCAATTTGTCAAATTCCTTATCACCGGTAATCCCACCAGCCGATCAGGATCATGGTTTACAAAATGTCTATTGTGACATTTTGTAAGGCAAGCATTGACTAAAAGAGAATCCTGTTTTGTTGACAAAGTAAAGAATAATTTCTAGAACAAAGTAGATGCTAAAAGTCGCGCCGGGATATGCGAGTCAAAGAGACTCGGTTAATCCATAAACAAGCGTGTACTAACTAAATCGAGGGTGGGCTTCATTTTCCAGACTATTCATTTTCAGGGAAATAAATTATTTGAAATGTGTACGATCAAGAATCCCACTTTGTTTTCTTAGGATTGTGCTGTTTTGGGGTTACTCCTAAACATACTACAATCTATCGGTAGAATTTTTTCACCTTCAGAATATACAGATGGACTCTCCTGGTTAGAGCCTTGTCTTATGTTTTTGTATTGAATAATTCCTAACAGAACTATGTCCCAATTTAGCCCGAGGCTGCATCTTCATCATTTCAAATCTACCCCAATCTCTTTCTAAAATAGTTCTCCAAAATTGCATGAGGCAGTAAATATTATTATATCCAGAGATATTACCGCGGAATTTGAAAATTCAGTCATTGAAATTTATAAGAGGTCTCAATGGGGTGATGGCTTTTACAGCTAACGGTTAATATTTTGCCATTTTACAGATTTTTTTTATTCTATTGTTGTCGCCTTAATTCTTTTTACGGTTAACTTTTTTTTGGACTATCGGTTAAAATTTGTCAATTTTTTTGGTCGTTTTACGGCAATCTGTTAACTCCATTGAGATCCTCTTAAGACTTTGCTTCTCTAGTTCTAAAATGTGCTTCAAACACAAAGAAGTAAATTACATGAGACCAAAGCACAGTATTTACATATCATATTTGTGTAAAATCAATAGATGCTAACCTGGGACACGTTCAGGTAACTGCTGGAAATTTTGGTGCATCAAGGAGTGTGGGCCCAATTTGAGATCTAATCCGTTTTCAAGTCAAGTTACTGAACTAATGACATCAAAGTTTCTTCTCGTTCTTATCCTCATTCTCTGTAACTTGGCCGTAATCAATTTAGCTTACTTAAATTCTGACTTAGGCTTCTTGACGTATCCCGATTAGTCGAACTTCTGCATCGAAAGAGCGGGAGATGGCGATTTCAAGTGTAATCGAACAAATCAACTCCTCTTGGCGTGACATATCATGATCTGTTGTGTTGTGCAACCAGAAGAAAAAAAATTTCTTTTTATAGGTTTCATTTGCTCTGAAGTTTAAAAAAAAAAAAGAATCTTATTAAACTATTTTCTCGGCTCCTTTGTAACTATTTTGAGACCTTTGAGATCCACATTCATCATTTTTGTAAGACAGCATACTGTATGCTTGTTTCTGACCGATCAAAAATTTCATATCATAGTCGGAACACAATTTTTTTTGAGACAAAAATAAAGCGTTTTCTTCGTAACTGATACTCCGCCACTAGAGTTTCTCAGCAAGAGACACTGTTCTTTAGCATTTAAGCCCTCATGAGGGCTTCTACATGACTGAAATGCTACATATTTTCATGATGCAAACACCGAGAAACTTTGGCTGCTTACCCTTTTTAAACGGATTACTCCTGTCAAAGAAGATACTAGCTCCAAAATTTTAACCTCATCTTGCTTTGTCTGGGATGGTTAACTGCATACTGACAGGAAATGGGACAAAAGATTCTTGGCCGTGTCCCACCGTGAATTTTACAATCGTTATTCTTTTTTTAGAGATATTTGCACAAAACAACCATTTTGGACTTAATTGCTATGCACAGAAACGAAACCCTGACAGCCTGAAATAAATTAATAAATATGTCAACAGGATACTCAATATTAATCAGCTTCGTGTTCGAAAGTCTCGACTTTCCCAACTTTTGTCCCCGTTTACAG